ACCATGGCTGCCGGGGAGGGCATGGCTTGGGGTCCCGCTCCCCCACACACTGTGGAAATGGGTCCAGATCCCCTGGGTGTGGTGCTGGCCACTGTTGCGTCAGCGTGTGGCCCCTGCCCCGCCTGTCCCGCCCCCGGGGGGCTGCAGGAGTTCTGAGTTTCCCCCGTACCTGCCGGGCTGGGCTCTGTGGGTGGATGACCTTGCTGACTCCTCTCTGCTTCTCTCTCCCCCACCCTCCACCCACAGTTTGCAAAACCAGAGTGGCTCACGGCACCAACTCCCACGAGGTGAGTGGAAAGTTTGACCACCTGACAGTCTCTCTGGGCCCCGCTGAGTCTGCTCCATCCACCCTGCTCCTCCCCCGCCCTGCTCTGGTGGCTTTGTCATCTGTCTGCAGCCTCCCCGGGTGCCTGTCCTTGTCCCCAAGGGCCGGATGTCTGTGCAAGACGCCACTTGAGCCCCTGCGGCAGCTCTCACACCCATCTGACCTGCCCTTGGCTTTCCATGCTTTGGCCCATCGGGGTCACCACTCCCTGGTGCCTGCTCTGTGCCAGGCACTGGGCTGGGCCCCTCCTAGGACTGCGGACCGGAAAGATGCCCTCACTGACGACAAGGATGGGCGGTCCTGCTCGTTTAGAAAGAAAATGAGCAGGGGAGGAGGAGAGGGCACCGTGCTGCTCCCTCTCATCCATTCCTTACTCACCCAGCAGTCATTCCCGACCCCACCTCGGGTGCCCGGGGAGGATGCTGAGGAGGGGAGCTGACCCAGAGTGGGCGACTGTCGCTGAGCAGACAGCAGTGAGGGGTGGTGGGAGGCAAGTGAGGAGGCCCTTGGGGGCAGGAGGAGCAGACAGCCGGCAGGGGCTCCCTGGGGTCTTTGTGGCCCTCACTACCCTTGGGAGCCACACCTGGGACGTGGCCTGTGACCCTCCACGCCCCCGGCACTGTACACCCTCAGGGGCAGTAGATGTTGGAGCCCTGGAGCAGGCCCTCTGGGAGAGCCTGGCCCTGGAGGTCCCACCGCAGTGCTCCCGGGGCCTCCTGTCTAGACGTGGGCCTGTGGAGGATTTATGCCGTGCCCTGACCCTGGCGGGTATTTATGGGGCACTGTGTAAACACTCCCTGTCGGGATCTGCGGTACATGCTGCGGTGGGGGCTGCAAGGCCCAGGGGCACCTCTGCCGTGGGAAGAACGTGGGGCAGGCAGTTAGGGCCTGCTGCAAAGGCCAGCGCCTCCGACGCCTGTCTAGACGTGGGCCTGTGGAGGATTTATGCCGTGCCCTGACCCTGGCGGGTATTTATGGGGCACTGTGTAAACACTCCCTGTCGGGATCTGCGGTACATGCTGCGGTGGGGGCTGCAAGGCCCAGGGGCACCTCTGCCGTGGGAAGAACGTGGGGCAGGCAGTTAGGGCCTGCTGCAAAGGCCAGCGCCTCCGACGGTGGGAGCCCTCGTGGGCC